AAGAGATAAAAAAGTTAGAAAAAAAGATTGATAAAATGCTTGACGAGTTTTCACAGGTTATTGAGTTTAAAGAACTTTTTCCAAATGACTACAAGGAAATAGAACAAAGTTTAAAAGATCGAATACAAGATCATAAAAATCAATTGATTAGAAAAAGGGAAGAGGATGCACGGATTGAAGCTGAATTGAGGGTGCATCGTTGCATCGTGAACGGCAAGCAAAGTTTGAGCAACAGCAAAGAGCGGAGAAACTGAAAAACACATTGATGGATGAACGTAAAAGGCAAATAGAGGCTGATAGAGCGCATTTACGTTCTAAAGTGGGTGAATGCACTACTGAACCCGAAAAACTGGCTTATAACGCAATACAGAGCAAATTAGATGGTGTTATCAGAGAGGGGGCTAACTATACTGTTTTGCTTGATAATAATGAGCCTACAACTAACCCATATGCCGAGATACTTAGGCTAATGTATGATAGAGAAGTATATGATTTTAAAAAGAAATTAGAAATTATATTAAATCAATGTGCAGATTCTAAGAGTAAAGATTATGACGATACTTTTAGGAGTTGGGGAACAAGACCAAGTTACTATGATAATTTTGATTCATCTGCAAAATATATTGTTGCAATTCAAAGCATTATAGATGATCAAGTGCAAGAGGGTGGTGTATTGGCTTATGAAAAAGCGAATGAAGTAAAACGTGCTTTAAGTGATGTCTTGGTCGGCAAGTGTAAAAATGAATATGACGTACTTTTGGTTGATGAGAAATCGAAAGAAAGGCAGCGTCAATACAATGAATCTCTTGAATTATCTAATAAAAATCAATTAGATAATAGTTTGTATTTTGAAGAGGAAAAGAAAAAGGGCAATGATTTTGAGATGTAGACTTTAGCGAGTGTCTACGAGCGTCACAGTAGTAGTAAAATTCATGATGTTTTTCTAAACAATAACAAATATCTACAGAGCGAGTGTCTACGAGCGAACAACTGAAATTTGCGCCTTGACCCGCTGAAAAACCGCTTTTTCGGTATTTGAGCATAGAAACCGTTTGCTTAGTGCTGATTTTTGAGTGTCCCTTTTTACTCTCCGATCTGTTTGTCTTTCGTGCGACTTTGCTTTTAAAAAAGCATCGAGCGATAGCGAGATTCATAGTTGCTTTTGCTCTTGCTTTTGCTCTTGAAACGACACGAGCGAAGC